GAGAGATCAAATTTAAGTAGAATGACAAAGCATGTGATCTGGTCATTATTATCCTACAAAGATCTATAAAGCTTGTGGTCATGAGCATTCACTTGAACTCTCAACCTTTTCACAAAATCTGTGGAATAATAAGACTACCTCCTAATTTCATCAATGCCACAAATGTTTCACTATTCAAGAAGCATTATAAATCAATTTGTGGGAATTATAGGCTTATTGCTTATTGGGGAAGATTTTCTCAAATTATCCTAAACTGTCTTCTATTAGTAAGGATATTCTTCTAGAGATCTCGTGTTGCTCTGGCCATCTGGGGCAGCCACATCTATCTAAAAGCAAAATATTACATATACTTTTGGAGGTTTGAAACAAAACATAATGCTGGAGAATCTCCAGATCCAGCAGTACCTGTGCAAACAAATAGAATTAGCATTTAAAGTCTTATTTGGAATGGGCAATGATCTTTGTCACTTATGAAATCCAAGGACCACATTGCACATCATGTTTACCTCTAAATGGTTGAGGGCTAATATTATAAACTTGAGTGAATCCAAGCTGACTGCAATGTCTTAATGTAATTAGTTAAACCTTGGTGTCATTCTGGTGAACCTGTGTTGCACCCCTTCCAACGCTAATATATCCTTGTCTGATGCCAAAAGCTAAAAGCCATACTTATGAGGATCTGACTAAGGCATTCTGTACAACTGAATTATTTCCTTCAATTTTGTGTTCCATTTTATATCAATTGAAGCAGAACAGACTGTACCACTCTTGAGAACCAGTAATATGTGATGTTTGGCTTTTACCTGTCAGTGAAAGATTTCCTGATGGCGTTAGTTTATTTCAGTTATAAATTGAAAATCTTTATGGACATTGTATTATGAGCAGCTTTCACAAATTTTGGCATTTGGGTAAGAAGAGGGGGGGAAACACATAAAAATATTTTTACATTGAGTTTTTTTTTTCTACAGTCTCTACCTTCTTTGTTTCACTTAGGTATAATGCTGCCAAGAAGGACAATGATTTTGTCTATCATGAGGCTGTACCACCCCTGGATTCACTCACCTCTGTAAAAGGCAAGTTCTCAGGTTATTTTCTATTGACCGCATTCAAATTTAAAACCACTTGAAATATTTTAGTTTTTTTGATTGCCTAATTTACATTTTTTATTGATTAGTCTGTGTGTAGGCTATTGCTTACAACAAACACTGACTCATATCCTAATTCTTTGTTTCCAAGATTCAAATCACTGCAGATCTTGATTCTTCCATCTTTTTCTGTAACTCAGTATTTCCTAATGTCATCTCCTCTGTTCATTACAACTTAATGCATCCTGCCCTGAACTTTGGCCCTTGAACTGAGCTGCTTAATTTTAAAAATTTACATTAAAATTTAGAGCATTTTTGTGCATGTTCAAGTGCATTAAATACGATTTTATTTCTGGAAGGAGGTGCAGTTATTTTAACTCTTGTGGCAACCTATTTTTAATAGGAGCATCTCTGGTAAAAGCCCTTCCTGTCAATCCAACTGATCCAAACGTGACTGGTCCTGACATTTTTGCAAAATTGGTGCCTATGGAAGCCCATGAGGCCTCGTCTCTGTACAGGTGAGCCTGAGGCTTGCAGCTTCTGAACAGCTACATGACTGAAAATTAAGCACAGGAACTTTGAAACGTGTTCTTCTAAAAATTATTGCACCATTACAAGAGTTTCTTTTGCTTGTTTTTTAAAAAAAGCTAATTTATTAGCTCTACCCATTTCTCTATAAGCATGTATGTAAGTCATAGATGCTTTAGGAATTTAACCATTCTCTATTTACAAGGGAAAAGACTTTTGAGAATTTCATTGTTCAACCTCAAACAGGTGTTCTGCTGGCAAAGCTGATATTGATTATCTGTCCCTAGTTGTCTGAGAGAAGGTGGTAGCTACCTTGAAATATTTCAAACTGGCCTGGTGGAAGTGCTCCCGCAATGATGTTGGAGATTTCTTTGATTTTTGCTCTATTTCCATTAGGGGAACAACATGGTAAAGCCAGGATGGTGTATGACTTTGAGATGACAGTGGCATTGACAAACCTGAAATCCTGACTTGAAGGATCAAGTAGCAGGAGCTAGAAGATAGAAACTGGTAAATGGGAACATGGGAAATTATTTTACACAGCGAAAGCTGTTGAATGAGTTGTCAGAGAATTGATATGAATTTTGGATGAATGTATTCAAAATTCAATTTGGTGAATAGAGAGGTTGCCAACACATTTCATGAAAAACCATTGTATGATCAAAACTGTAATAAATTGCTTGCCAAATAATTTTTGATCAGCCACTGTACATTTAAAACATGAAAAGGACAAGTCAGAATTTCACAGTTTGTCTGGGTAACATCTTGATGGGGTATTAAACTTTCTTTGTCTTTTCCTAGATACAAATTAGCCTGCAGTGCATACTGTTTACTTTTTTAAATTCAGGTTTTCACTGCTCTCTATTCTGTTATTGGTGTCCAAAAGTGCTTGTGTGTTGCTTCCTTTACAATACATTAAATTAATAATTTATGATCTAAATTTTGAACAAAAAGATTGCAAAATGACTACAGTAGTTGCAGATCTGTTTTGTTCAACCTTCTATGTTTATAAAAACAAAATGTTGTAAAGAGTATAATATTTTGAAACATTATATGTTTGAAGCTGTATCTGTGCCATGTCTTATCCTTCTCCCGTTCTGTTTTTCTAGTGAAGAAAAGGCAAAGTTGTTACGAGAGGTGATGGCTAAAATAGACAGCAAAAATGAAGTATTAGAGTACGTATTTGCCCCGCATACAGCTGGTATAGTTCAGAACCTAATTACATTGTGCAAAGAGTTTTCAGAAATTGCAATATCACTCAACTTGTTATTAAAAATGTTCTTGAATCTAAATGCTGATCAGCTTATAAAAAGCTGGAACTTTTTCACAAAGTTTTGTTTTTTTTAAATCATTTGGAATCTAGACTTCACTGGCTAGGCTAGCATTTTCTTGCCTTAATTGCACTTGAGAAGATGATGGTGCACTGCCTTCTTGAATTGCTGCAGTTTCATGTACGTAGACCCACTGTGCTGTTAGGAAGGGAATTCCAGGATTTTGACCCAGCCACAGAAAAGAAACAACAGTATATTTTCACATGAGGATAGTAAGTGGTGATATATGCAGGTCATGATGTTCCAGTTACCTGCTATCCATGTCTATCCAGATAAAGTTGTTATCGGTTTGAAAGGTGCTGTCTAAGAACTCTTGGTGAATCTCTGCTCTGCATATTGTAGATGGTACAGACTACTGTCAATCTGAGTTGGTAGTCGGGTGGGGGGTGGGGAAAGGGGTGAATTTGGATTTGATACCAGTCATCTGGCCTGATTTGTCTTGGGTGGTGTCAGGCTTTTTGAATGATATTGGAGCTGCATTTATTTAGGCATGTAGAGAGTACTCCATCGCATTCTTGACTTGGGCTTTGTAGATGGTGGGCAAGCTTTCAAGGAAGTGAGTTATTTGCTATTTCTGACTTACTCTTATAGATAAAGTGCTTGTATGGCTAAATAAAACCAAAAGAACTGCGGATATTGCAAATCAGAAACAAAAATAGAAATTGCTGGAAAAGCCCAGCAGGTCTGGCAGCATCTGTGGGGAGAAATCAGAGTTAACGTTTCGGATCGAGTCACCCTTCCTCAGAACACTGATCTCTGTTTTGAGGAAGAGTGACTCAATTTGAAATGTTAACACTGATTTCTCTCCACAGATGTTGCCCGACCTGCTGAGTTTTTCCAGCAATTTGTTTTTGTTGCTTATATGGCTCCTTTACTTCCATTTCTGATCAATGGTAATCCCTACGATAATGATAGTGGGGGACTCAGTAATGCCATTGCATATCGAGGGATGATTAAGATGAGTCTCTTGTTGGAGATAGTCATTACCTGGCACGTGTGTAATACAAATGATACTTGCCATTAATCAGCCCAAACATGGACGTCTTGCTGCATCTGGACTGAATTATTTCAGTGTCTGAGAAATTGTGAATGGTGCTGAATATTTTGCAGTCATTAGCAAGCATCCCTGGTCCTCGATCTGATGGAGGAAAGGTCATTAATGGAGCAGCTAGGATACTGTCATGAGGAATTCCTGCAGCGATGTCCTGGAGCTGGGATGACTGACATCCAACAAGATGCTGCCATCTTCTTTTGTGTCAATTATAAGACCACAACGTATAGGGACAGAATTAGGCAATTCACCCCTTCATGTCTGCTTTGCCATTCGAACACGACTGACGGCTGATGTTCTCAACTCCATTCTTCTGCCTTCTCCCATAACTCTTGATCCCCTTACTGTCTTAAATACACTCAGTGACCGGCCCTCCACAGCCCTCTGTGGTAATGAGATTAATCAACCTCAGGTTGAAGAAATTCCTTCTCATCTCAGTTCTAAAGGGTGTAGTCCTTTAATTCTAAAGCTGTGCCTTCGGGTGCCAGTCTGCTCGTGGAAACCTATTCTACCTAGGGGGCTTTCAGTATTCTGGAAGTTATCCTTCTAAACTCTTCTGTACAGATACAGAGTCCTCAACTGCCCTTCATCGCCTGCATCCTTCTTGTGAATCTCTTCTGGACCCCCTCCAAGACCAGCAAATGGGGCGGCACGGCGGCTCAGTGGTTGGCTCTGCTGCCTCACAGCGCCAGGGACCCGGGTTCGATGCCACCTTCGGGCGACTGTCTGTGTGGAGTTTGCACATTCTCCCCGTGTTTGCGTAGGTTTCTTCCGGGTGCTCCGGTTTTCTCCCGCAGTCCAAAAATGTACTGGCTAGGTGGATTGGCCATGCTTAATTGCCCGTAGTGTTCAGGGCTATGTAGCTTAGTGGGGTTATAGGGGGATGGGTCTGGGTGAGATGCTCCAAGGGTCGGTGTGGATTTGTTGGGCCGAAGGGCCTGTTTCCACACTGTAGGGATTCTATGAGCTTCTATGATTCTATGATCATATCTGCCCTTAGGTACGGGGCTCAAAATGCTCACAATATTCCAAATGCAGTCTAACCAGAGCCTTATACAACCTCAGCATAACGTCTCTGCTTCTAGCACTCTTGAAATGAATACTTTGCCTTCCTAACTACCAACTAAACCTGCTTGATAACCTTAAGAGAACCCTGAACTAGGACTCCTAAGTCCCTTTGTGTTTCAGATTTCTGACACCTTTCCCGATTTAGAAGACTGTCTATGCTTCTATTCTAAATCCCAAAGTGCATTAGCTCACACTTTCACATATTGAATTGCATGTGCCACTTCTTTGCTCACTCTTCTTGTCTGTCCAAGTCCTTCTGCCCCCTCCCCAATTCCATAACATTACCTACCCTCCACCTATCTTTGTGTCATCTGCAAACCTAACAGCAATGCCCTCAGTTTCTTCATCCAGATCGTTAATGTAAATCGTGAATAGTTGTAATCGCAACACGACTCCTGAGGGAGTCCACTAGTCTCGGGCTGCCGTCCTGGAAAAGACCCCTTTATCCCTATTCTCTGCCTTCTGACAGTCAACCAATCTTCTGTGCCATATCTTGCCCCAATCAACATCTTTCTTAGCAGTCTTCTGTGCAACGCTTTGTCAAATGTCCTCTGGAAATCCAAATAGATCATGTCTACTGGCTGTCCATTGTCTAATTTTTTCATTATCCCCTCAAAGAATTCTAACAGACTTGTCAGACATGATGTCCCTTGATAGAAGTTGTGCTGACTCAGCCCTATTTTGCCATGCATTTCCAAGTACTCTTCAATCTCATCCTTAATAATGGACTCTTAAAATCTTACCAACGACTGAGGTCAGTCTAACAAACCTGTAGTTTCTTGTCCTCTGCCTGCCTGCCTCCTTCCTTAAACAGGCATTTTATATTTGCAAATTTTCAGTCCTCAGGGATCCTCCCTGGCTCCACTAATTCCTGAAAGGTCAACACCAATGCCTCTACAATCTCCTATCTCTTTCAGAACTCTGCGGTGTAGTCTATCTGGTCTGGGTGACTTGTCTATGTTCAGGCCTTTCAGCTTCCCCAGCTCCTTATCCTTAGTGATGGCCACTGCAATCACTTCTGCCCCCAGACTCTCTCGAATTTCTAGTATGCTGCTGGTGTCTTCTACTGTGCAACCTGATGCAAAGTACCTATTCCATTCCTCCACCATTTCTGTTTGCCATTACTAGGTTCATTTTCCAATGGCCCGATGTCCATTCTTGCCCTGCTCTCTTGCCTTTCAGATATGCTAAAAAAAACTCTGCAATTTTTTTTTATTTGACGAGCTATGATCACCCTAACCAGCAGAGAGTTTGCCCCGATTCCCATTGACTTCAGTTATTCTGGGGCCCCTTGATTTCATACTTGTCAAATGCAGCCTTGATGTCAAGGCCATCCATTATCACCTCACCTCTGAAGTTCATCTATTTGTCAGGAGCTGAGTGACCATCCGAAACTGAGAGTCTGTGAGCAGATTATTAGTACGCAAGTGCTGTTTAATAACACTGTTGATGCCTTCTGTCACTTTACTACTGATCGCAAGTAGACTGATGGAGTGTGAATGGCTGGGTTGGATTTTCCTGATTTGCACAAGACATACCTGAGCAATTTTTCAAATTATTTGTTAAATGCTGGGTGCTGTAGGTATACTGGAACAGCTTGGATAGGGGTGTGGCATGTTTTAGAGCATGTCTTTCGTCCTATTGCCTGAATATTGTCAAGGGCCAGCATCTTTGCAGCAATTTCTGGATATCATGTGGATTAAATTGAATTGACTGAAGGCTGCCATCTATGATGCTGGGGATCCAAATGGGTTATAACTGCTGTAGCACTTCATGAATGGATGTGCTGGTGCCACTGCCCTGCCCGCTGCCCGCTGCCCCCCCCGATCTGATCCTTTAGTTACGTAATCGTTTAGCTCGTATATCATTTGCTGCTTATGCTATTTGGCATGCATGTATTCGGTAGCTTCACAGGGTAACCCCTCCATTTTTTGGTATGATTTGAGATGTCATAGTCATAGAGTTATACAGCGTGGAAACAGACTCTTTGGTTCAACTCATCCATGCTGACCAGATATCCTAAAATAATCTAGTCCCATTTGCCAGCATTCGGCCCATGTCCCTCTAAACCCTTACTATTCATATACCCATCCAGATGCATTTTAAATGTTGTAATTGTACCAGCCTCCTCCACTTCCTCTGGCAGCTTGATCCATACATGCACCATCCACTGCGTGAAAATGTTGCCCCTTAGGTCTCTTTTAAATCTTTTTCCTTTCCCCTCAAAGCTATGCCCTCTAGTTTTGAACTCCCCTACCCTGGGGTAAAGACCTTGGCTATTCACCCTATCCATGCCCCTCATGATTTTATTAACCTCTATAATGACACCCCTCAGCTTCTGACACATCAGAGAAAATAGCCCCAGCCTATTTAGCCTCTCTGTATAGGTCAAACCCTACAACGCTGGCAACGTCCTTTTGTAAATCTTTTCAGAACCCTTTCAAGTTTCATAACATCCTTCCTATAGCAGAGAGACTAGAATTGCACCAATATTCCAAAAGTGGCCTAACATGTCCTATACAGCTGCAACATAACCTCTCAAACTCCTAGACTCGATGCACTGACCAATGAAGGTAAGTGTACCAAATGCTGTCTTTAAGGGTGTTGAGGCAAAAAACCTTCTTAGCTTTAAGAAGCATTTAAATTTGTACTTATGATGCCAAGGCCATGGGCCAAGTACTGGAAAATGAGATTAGAATAGCTTGGCATGGACATGAGGCTGAACAACCTTTTTCTGTGCTTTGGATTTTTGTGACAATGATTAAAACAATAATTATGTTGCTGCCTTACAGTTTTGTGATCTATTTTTTAAAAAAATGCTTTTAACCATCCATTTTGGAGCCAAATTAATTCTATGACTTAAAAGGAGTCAGTGTGTAAAAAGAAAATCAATTTCTCTTTGTATTTCAGTATGCTTGACAGAAGCTTAAGTATGTCTTTTGATAGTATGTATCTTACTGTTGTGATTTGAGAAAATTGTCTAAAGGGAAGCAGAGAATTTCATTTGATTTTTAAATCTGCTTTGTCTTGTTTCATTTTATAACAGGCAGTTCATGGATTCTTTGAGAATTGACCCAGAGTCAATAGACAATTTAGACATGTATAATCATATCCCACCAGTCCTGATGGAAAAGTGTGCAGCACTGAGTGTCCGCCCGGATACTGTGAAAAATTTGGTTCAATCCATGCAAGGTATGTTTTATGCAAATATAAACTCCAGTTCAGTTATTTATGTGCTATCTTCTTTGGCTCTCTGACATTTCAATGTTCTCAAAGTTTCTATGATTCATTTTTAATTTTCTATGACATTTTACTCTGTGATCTATTTTCTTTGTGTGATGCATGAATTTACAAAACAAAAATGCATGTAATGACAATAATGTCACCATAGCCACATGTATAGCTCATTAACAATTTTTATTTGACAACTTTCTTTTACTTGGCCAACTTAACACAAACTGTTGATTGCACTTTCTTGATCTCTGTGTTGTGCATTGCAGCCAAACCCTACAAATTGATGGAAAAGGTAACAATTGTTAAAATTTTTCCCCAGTTCTATCTGGAGTATACACTGATGTTGAGGCATCCCTGAGAGAGTTTAAGGATCTTATGGACCAGGATGAACTTGCAGAGCAGAAATTACAAGAGGCCACTGGAAGAAGGGGCACAACAAGCGGAATATCTGAACTCAGCAAGGAATGGTCCAAGTACATGGAAGTGCATGAGAAAGCCAGCTTCACCAATACTGAGCTGCATAAGGCAATGAATTTACATATCAGTAACTTACGGCTTTTAAGTGGACCCCTAGAAGATCTTCGCGCTGCTTTACCAACTCCCACTGTCTCTGACGGTATTGACGTGTATTTTCTATACATTTGCCAATATAATTTATATCTGGTAATGTTTTTCTCTTTGAGGAATTGTACTGTTCAGTTATTGTTACATGTACCCTTCAACTTGTACTTCATAGTGTTGTTTATAATGTACTCGCTTCCACTGGAGTGCAGGTTGGCTATTCAACTGGAGGATCCTCTGTACCTCATACCTCCAACTCTTCTTTTTTTTTTAGAAACTCAAATATATGTAATTCATAAACTGGTAAGAAACTTGGGGAATATTCTACACATTTTGCCCTGCTTTATTTACTTTTGATTTTTAAACATAGCTTCCTATTTACTTGACCCTTTCTTACCAACCCATTCACAACAGAACAATCTACACTGTATCTGTGGCAAGCTTACTTCACATAGACACGTTATTTGCCCTCTGTATCTATCTTTATTTGTATCAAGTGCAGTACTCAACATTCAACAGGAAAGCTGCTTTCAAACAAGAGATTCCATTCTTCTCTCTTTCGTGGGCACCTTTGGCCTGTCCTGTAACGTTCCATTCCTACATTTAAGTTTTCCATGCTGTTAGTTGGGTCTGCTGGCTATAACCAGTGGCCTTGGATGGTTCTTGGCATCCTCACCTTCAGGTTCAGTAATGCACACTGTTTTTGGCTCTGCATTTTAACAGAGGAAAAGGGCGTTCTCCAGAACATGAAGCGAATTTTACTGAAAGTTGAGGAAATGAGAGACCAGCGTTCCTCACTCATACAGCAGCTGAGAGATACCATTCAGAAGGATGACATTACCACAACACTCGTTACAACAGACCATTCAGAAATGAAGGTGAATCAACAACTACACCACATTTACGTGTAATGACTGAAGCCATTAAAATAATTCAAAAATAATGTCATAAATGATGTTCCCAAGTGCAGCTAATGCTAGCTGGATCCTGTAGCTTATGTTCTAATCTTTGTCCAAATTGCTTGTCAGATCCAAAACTCCAGACTGAAATGGTGTATGGTGCAGTGGCAGTTTGGGCTACATATTAGCAACATGAATTATTGTAGATTTAGTTCATGTGTTTCTTATTGTCACAATTGTGTTTTTATGATTTCCCCTCATGCTCTTGGCCCTCGCACTAACTTATTCCGCAGTGGTGTGAAGACTTCTTATTGTCAAGTAGTTGGTTTGCAGTTGGGAAGATAATTTAATTTATTTTTGGTCATCTGGAAAGACACAAGTAAAATTGTGATGTATCCGGTACAATTTGTACGATTTTCTTATGTATAACTATGTAATTGCAGAAACTTTTTGAAGAACAACTGAAGAAATATGATCAACTAAAAGTTTACATTGATCAAAATCTTGCTGCCCAAGAAAACATCTTGAAGGCTTTGACAGATGCTAATGTCAAATATGCTACAGTTAGGAAAATTCTTGCTGAAGCAGAACATAAGTGAGTAGCTAATTGAAAGAAGGCTGTCTGATGCATATTGAAACGCTTTGCTTGCACAATACTCCATGTTTCATTTGATTTGTTGTCATGTCTACCTAAGTACAGTGAAAAGTTTTTTGTTTGTGAGTGTTACAGGCAGATCATAGTAAACAAGGACATACAGATCATAGGGTAAAAAAAACTTGGTTAGAGTGAGGCATACAGGTTATACTGCACAGGATGTGTGTGAAGCAAGAACAACATTAACAAGATCAATGTTATTTGAAGTTAGAGAGTCCGTTCATCAATCTGATAACAGCAGGGAAGAAGCTATTCTTCAACCTGCTGGTGCGTTTGTTCAAGCTTCTGTATTTTCTGCCTGACAGAAGAAGTTGTAGAAGAGCATTATCAGGGTGGGATGGGTCTTTGATGATGTAGGCAGTCTTTCCACGGCAATGAGAAGTGTAAGTGGAGTCCATGAATGGGAGGCTGGCTTCTGTGATGGTCTGGCCTGTGCGCACAACCTTCTGTAGTCCTGGACAGAGCAGTCCAGGCTGTTATGCATCCTACTATCTCTATGCATCCAGTCAGTTTGCTTTCTATGGTGCTTCTTGGTTCTATGTGGTGCTTTATACAAACCAGGAAAGTCCTATGTTTAATTCCTGATTTGAACAATGGTTATGAACTTTGTTATGATGTGTGTCTGGTCTAGTACAATAATTGCAGTTCCTGATCATCATTTGGTAACCCCTTTTTTTAAGTGGACGGTTGGTGAGAAGAGGATCAAATTTACCTGTGAACCTCACCATAATTGAATAGTCCTCCAGTGGTTGCTTTGTGCTGAAGTAGAACTACCCATTTAGTTAAAATATTCAGAAGTCTTGCAGCCATAGTTCAACAAATGTACTTGCATGAGAAAATCAATGAAAAAAGTGTCTCAATGTTTCCCAACTGTAATTAGCTTGAATTTAAAAAAAAACCAGTTTGATTATGTATAAAATGCCTATACAAGTCTACAAATATGTTGTTCTGTTTTACAGTTCCGTTAAATTATAACTGAAATGTACTCTGGGAGCCAATGGAGATTGCTATCAAAAAGGTCTATTACACTACACTGGATCAGTTTGAATATTGCTTTCAGTTAAAGCAAATTACAGCTGATAGTTAGGGAGCTTATTAGAGACACAAAGGAAAGACAAAATTAAACTATCAATTAAGAGGTACCAAAGAAATTCAAAACAACCATCTGAAGATAAGTCTTAATAGTTATCAATACATGGGCTGATACAATTCAATAAATAACTTTGCAGATATTTGCACTGAACAATTATTTATTTTTCAGTGCTATGAAAGCTAATAAATTGCATCTTTTAACATCATTGTTAAACACCTTTTAACATGCTGAAAAAAAGAGCTTTACAGAGGGGACATTGACTAATTATTGAGGATGGTTGTAGGGGAGCATGTGATAGATCAAGATTGAGGTCAGGGATGGGATTTAAGAAGATATTTGAAGATGAGGGAAATAGAGTTCGGAAAGAAGTTCTGAACGTTATGGGTATGCTTGCTGATTTCTGTTGGTGAATTAGTGTAAGGAGCGGGGACACTAGACTTGGAAGAGTAATAGTTGGATTTTTTTTTTCCCCCCCTTCATTCATGCAAGGGATGAGGGCATTGCTGGCTAGGCAGCATTTATTGCCATCCCTTAATTGCCCAGAGGGCAGTTAAGTTTCAGCCAAATTGCTGTGGGTCTGGAGTCACATGTAGGCCAGACAAGGTAAGGATGGCAGTTTCCTTCCCTAAAGGGCATTAGTGACCCAGATGGGTTTTTCCCAACAATCAGCGATGGATTCGTGGTCATTATTAGACTCTTAATTCCACGTTTTAATTGAATTCAAATTCCACCATCTGCCATGGCGGGATTTGAACCTAGGTTCACAGGGCATTACCTGGGTCTCTGGATTAACAATCCAGCAATAATACCACTAGGCCATTGGCTCCCTACGGCGTTGTAGAAATGCACAAATTGTCATTAGAGAAATTGTCTTTAAAATCCTATTGCATTGTCAATGTATAACAGAAATGTAGCTAATGGAGGTGAGAATAAGTGTGATTTGCTGACAGACATTATTCTTAAAAGCATATAATTATTATTGCAAAATATAACAGATACAAGAAATCTGAAGTTATGAATTGCTGGAGAAACTCTATTCAAGCAGTATCTGTGGAAAGTCAGGAATCTTAATTAAGAATATTGTAATTTACTTGCCTATTTCCTGATATAATCAGTGTCATTGAAATCCTTGTATCTTAATCTGAGCGTCTCCATTGCCCATATAAATTGACAGCCATTTGCAATTTTTGAATTTCTACCTTTGTCAGGGAAAGTTCTTGTGCTTACATGAAGAAGGGAACAACCAGTCTTTTATGTTTATAATTTACTTGAATGTGAATTGAACTGATTGGCAAAATGTCCTTTATTATATTCCATGATTTTGTGTTTCATCAACTGTTGAATTAAAACAATTTATGAACTCCATTATCAGTGAGAATAATTGACATCCTGATTTAATTCATGAGGGATATTGAATGTTGCGCTTCTGCCCCATTAGAGGGAGTTGACTTTGGAATAAGGTAGGCAGGCCAACCATGTGGTATAAGTGCATAGATTTTAGGCACTGAATCTTTAAGACATCTAGATGATCTCGTGGCATGTGATATATCTTACTCTATATAGTTAGCAAGCAGACAGTTAGTCATTTAGACAGCCAGCCAACTATGTTTGCAATGTAATAAAAACCTTAGTAAGTGCACAATACTATATCTGTAAATTTGTCATATTCGTGAACATAGTTATTAATAAACTTCCATAATCTCTCGATAAGAACCTAAGTCTCATATCGAAAACCAGAACTCTTTGGGCCACTTAATGGAGAGATTCCACTGATTCAGATTAGATTTGTGCACCAGACTCAGATTTGTAATGATAGTGTTCAGATGAGAAAAAGCAAAAATTGTTGAATTTGAGACAACATAATAATTACCACGCAGAGAAGGATTGGCAAACTGTTGGAGGAAATGTACTCATTCCATTGAGAAATATAGGAATGGAGCCATGGCACAAATGAACTGTAAAAAAGATAGAGGTGGAGTAATTGATTGAATTGAGGGCCACAGATATATAGAAATATAGAAAGTAGGAGGAGTATGCTATTCAACCCCTCCAAGCCTGCTCTACTATTCATTATGATTATGCCTGTTCATGAAACTCAAAACTCGAATATTGCACCACCCCCAGCTGCTGCCGCACCTCTCTTGATCCCTTTAGCTGCAATAGCTACATCTACTTCCTCCTTGAAAACACAATGCTTTGACCTCAACCATTTCCTGTGGTAATGATTTCCACAGGCTCTTTATTGTATGAAGACATTTCTCCTCATCTTAGTGGATGGTGAAAAGAATCCAGAGGGCATATACTACATGAAGGTGGTATTCAATGTAGATTCATTCAAAACCAATGATGATTGGGAGAGCAACAAATGAAAGACACCTTTGTACTTACAATTTCAATGAAATGAAGAATTACTTATTACTTTCATAAATAATGTCCATTTGAGTGGATAAGGCCAGGCTATTTTTGGTATTGCAGAGTCTGTGTTATGTCTAAGGAATTTTGTTAAGGTATTGCTTTTCTGAGCAGTTTTTATTCAGTACTGTTTGGTGAATGTTGTTGTGTATCTGTGTTTGATAAAGCCAAAATTAACATTTGAGTAATCAATAACCCATTCCTTTAAAGGCCCAGAGTATTCTTCCAGATTTGTCAAGTCTGATACCAGTTGAATAACTGTCGTATTCTCTGAACAGCAGTAGTTTGCAGGTTTTATTTTATTGATTTAAAGGATGTGAACATTCTTGTCAAAGTCAGCATTTATTACTCGTTCTTAATTTCCCTTGACTCAGTGGCGATGAGCCTCTTTATTGAATGCGCTGTATGATTTCCTCGACCATTCTCCGGGCAGTGAGTCAACCAAACTGCTGTGTTTTTGCAGTCACGTATAGGTCAGACTGGATAAAGATAGCAAATTTCCTCCCATAAAGGATATTGAGTTAGATGGATTTTTGTGACAATTCAGTAGTTTCATGATCATCATCAAGTTTTTATTCCAGATTTATTTAATTAACTGAATTTAAATCCTCCAGCCACCAAACTGGAATTTGAATTTTGGCCACCATTAATAGTTGAGGTGTTTACACATCTAGTAAAATAATCATGCTGCAGTTTCTCCGTGCAAAAACAACCTACTAATTGTGCATTTGGACAATAATCTTAGCACTGAGCCTGAAGTTGTGCTGTCACCCTTCTACAAAGGAAAAGAACTGTAGTAATCAGAAGTGAAAACAGATGTTGGGAATACTTAGTAGGTCAGGCAGAACTGATTAAAGTTCTCAACCTGAAATATTTCTGTTTCTTCACGGATAAAGCCTGATCAGCTGAGAATTTCCAGGCCCTTTCTGTATTCATCTTGAACACAAAAGCAATACATTGTGAATATTAGAACTATTAAAAATATTGGAAAAAATTCAGCAAGTCAGGCAGCATCTGTGGAGCGAAAGTTAAATTTCACGTGAATGACTTTTTCCTGTTATTATCTTGTTCAGTTTCATTAGATTGCTCTTCTCTGAAATGTTGGCTAACGCTGCTTAAGATTCTGTTAAGAAGAAAAAGAAATCTCTTCTATCCTGACATGACATTAATTTTTTTAATAGACATATTTATGATTTGTAAAAGTAATGCAGAAAAGACATTTAATGATATTACTGTATTGCTTTAAAAGTAACAGCACAAGTTTAAAATTGGCACTTCCTGTTGCTCTTTAGGTGGAACGTTACTATTCAGATGCTAGTAGCATCGTATGAAGCTTACGAAGACCTGATGAAGAAATCCCAAGAAGGAAAAGAGTTCTATGCAGATCTAGAAAACAAAGTAACAAGGCTATTGGATAAAATGAAAGACATCTGCAAATCTCAGGAAGACCAAAGGCAACTTGTACTGGAGCAGTAAGCATGTTTTTCTGTAATTGAGAAACTGAATCAAAAAGTAAAGCCCTGTAATTACATGAACAGTATGGTGATTTGAAAAGGACAAGAAGACTAGCTTAATTAAGGAGGAGAGGTTACATCATGCCTACCATTTGTTTTTGCTCTTATTGTTAATTTAACTTCAAGCAATACTTCGGACCTTTCTTTTCTTCTATGCTCTTTACTATTTTAAATACTTTTCGATAATCCCTTCTTCTTCACTGTTATCTGTTAACATTTTTGTTTTCCATTTATGTTCTCAGTTGTGTAAACTCTTTTGACTGTGTCACGGATGTGGGAAGATTCTAGAAAACAGGCTAATATATAGCACAAAACTATTTACAACTATATAACCATAGTGTGCAAACTATTGTGCCTGTTGCAATATCTCTCATCCTGTATCGTGTGCATTGACCGTAGAATCATAGAGTTGTACAGCATGGAAACAGTTCCTTCAGACCAACCTGTCTGTGCCGAACAGGTATTCTAAATTCATTTAGTCCCATTTGCCAGCATTTAGCCCATATCCCTCCTAAACCCTTCCTACTCATATACCCATCCAGACGCCTTTTAAATGTTGTAATTGTACCAGCCTTCACCACATCCTCTGGCAGCTTATTCCATACACACACCACCCTTTGTGTGAAAAAGTTGCCCCTTTGTCCCTTTTAAATCTTTCCCTCTTGCCTTTAAGTTTAAGGCTGCAGTTTTGGACTCCCTTACCCTGGGAATAAGAGCTTAGCTATTCACCCTGTCCATGCCCCTCATGATTTTACAAACCTCTGAAGTCACCTCTCAGCCTCCGACATTCCAGGGAAAATAGCCCCAGCCTGTTCAGCCTCTTCCTCCAACGTCGGCAACATCTTTGTAAATCTTTTCCAAACCCTTTCAAGTTTCACAGCATCTTTCCTATCAGCAGGGAGACCAGAATTGTATTCAATATTGCAAAATTGGCCTAACCAATGTCTTATATAGTTGCAACATGACATCCCAACTCCAGTGCTCAGTGCATTGACCAATAAAGGCATGTATACCAAAACACCACCCTCAATACCGTCTACCTGTGACTCCAATTTCAAGGAGCATTGAACCTGCACCTGAAGTGTGCAGCAACACTCCCCAGGACCCTACATTAACTGTGTAAGTCTAGCCCTGATTTGCCTTACCAAAATGCAATACCTCACATTTATCTAAATTAAACTCCATCTGTCACCCATTGGCCCATCTGATCAAAGTCCCATTGCACTTTAAGATAACCTTCTTCACTTTCCACTACACCCCCAATTTTGGTGTTATCTGCAAACTTATTAACCATATCTCCTAAATTTCACATCCAAATCATTTATATAAATGACAAAATGAAATGGACCCAGCACAGCTTCTTGTGGTACACTGCCAGTCACAGGTCTCTAGTCCGAAAAACAACCCTCCACCACCACCCTCTGCCTCCAACCTTCAAGCCAATTTTGAATCTAAATGGCTACCCCTCCCTGGATTCCTTGTGATTTAGCCTTGTTAACCAGTTAACCATGCCAGAACATTGTCAAACACCTTGCTGAAGTCCATAGAGACAACATCCACCACTTTGCCTTCTTCAATCTTCTTTATCACTTCTTCAAAAAATTCAATCAAGTTAGTGAGACCCGATTGCCCGCACACAAAGCCATGTTGACAATCGTGTTACTCCAGAATTGGAAAACATGGTATCTTGTGGGAATTAGATGAATGTAATGTAGATTTTGGTTGCTAAGTGTGACAATGAACTAATTATGCTATTTGTTAAAACACTGTCAAGCTTGTAATCTAAGAATGTAAGACAAGTAACTGATGAGAAAAGAGCATTCAAATCCATAAAGCCCATGCCTCTGGTGCACTGACCCTATCACTCTGAGTTTTAAATATTGTCACAATTTAAGTGGAAAGAATTTACTGATGATAATGCTGCAGTGTTCCACAGGTTGTTATAAAAGGGGTAAATGTATAAAATCCTGATTTGACCACCAAAATGACCAATTTGTCTGATTGACTGCAGTTCAGGACACCAGTAATTAACATCAAATGTTGTCAGTAACAGAAAATAACTACTACTTGTAACACCTTTCATTTGTCTTGCCAAAGTTAGAGTTTCTAATTTATGACTATGCAGCTGTAACTATGTGCCATCTTCCTGCCCCCCACCCCTGTATCCCAACATACATGCAGACAATCACGATTGTTTTTGTCTCTATCTCTCACTGTTTCGCAATCTCTACCGGAAAAGGTTGTAGAAGCAGAGTTCTTGAATATTTTTAAAGTAGAAGTAGATTCTTGTTTGCAAGGTCCTAGGTCCAGCCACCTTCAGCCATTTAATCAATGACCTTCCTTGCATCGTGTCAGAAGTAGAGATGCTTGCTGCTGATTGTGCAATGTTCAGCACCATTCACAACTCCTCAGACTTGAAGCAGTCCATGATCAAATGCAGCAAGACATGGACACTATCTAAGTTTGGGCTGACAAGTGGTAACAAATGTTACCTAGCACTTGTGTGGTGCCAGTGACCATCTGCAACAAGAGAAAATCTAATCATCACCTCTTGACATTCAGTAGTCATGACCATCACTATCGATATTCTGGTTGTTGACATTAAACAGAAACTGAACTGGACTAGCTGTGTAAATGCTGTGGCTACAAGAACAGGTCAGAGTCTAGTGAATAAATCACCATCTGACTAACCAGAGCCTGTCTACTATCTACAAGGCACAAATCAAGAGTGTGATGGAACTCCCCACCGCCTGGTTCAGTGCAGTTCCAGCAGCAGACAAGAAACTTGATACCATCCAGAACAAAGCAGCCACTTGGTTGGCACCACATTTACAAACATTCACTCCCTTCATCACCAATCCTCAGTAACAGCAAACTACACTGTTTACAAGGTGCACTGCAGACATTCACCGAAGCTCCTTAGAAGCACTTTGCTCCCCCATGACCATTACCATTTAGAAGGTCAAGGCCAGCAAACATGGAAACCACCACCACCATCTGCAAGTTGCCCTCAAAGCTACTCACCATCCTAACATGGAAATATATTGCTGTTCCTTCAGCGTTGCTGTTTCAACATTCTGGTACTCCCTAATGGCATTGTGGATGTACTTACATCAAATGGATTTCCGTGGTTCAAGAGGGCAGCTTACCATCATGTTCTTAAGGGCAACTAGGAATGGCTAAAAAATCTAGCAGTCCCAGCTAGTGAAAGCCCACATCCCTTGAGTGAATTTGAAAAGTTATCAGGGTAGGCAAGAATCAGATCAGCCATCTCCTTATTGATTGGTGGAGTCTATATTCCCTATTTGTTTTTTCTGCAGTTGAGGTCTGTGCAAAGTGTCAACTTTGAGAGCCTGAGGTTTATGCATCCACACATCGATTGGCATGTGCAGATCCTTTTGGGTAGGGCTGAATATCCTACTCCTGATTTGTATGTTTTTCTGTACTATGGGCAGAATAAGATATAGTGTAACCAAACAATCACAAAGTTTTAGGTTATCTACTTAAAATTCTCTTGATTTCTGCAATGATGACATTCTGTTACCTGGTTGATCAGGGTGGACATGACCTTTCATACATGAATTATTCCTTAAGTTTTTGGTTTTTCTGTTTGCTCCCCACATGAAGGAAGAGAGGTAGATGCATTCTGTCTGTGGGTCTTGGATATTTCTTCTGTGTTGTTCTTGGCCAGTGTGGCTTTTGAATATTCTGGAGTTCAGGCTATCAGAGGCTTGTTGTTGTCAAATAGATTTTCCTTAATTTGTAAGATTCTTGGAGATTCTCGGTCTTGAATGCTCCTTAGTACTGCTTCAAAAAACAGCAGGCCAAGCAGCATCATAGGAGCAGAGAGGCTGACGTTTCGGGCCTAGACCCTTCATCATAATGGTTGTTTGTTTTATTTAATCTGATTTAAACATGCTTTCTGCTGTATTCTCAAGTTCTATATGTCGCAAGTACTTCCTATTCTAATTTTTGACAAATGTTTGATCCCATTCCATGTTGCTCAGCATTCACTGTGGCTTATATTTAGTTAGTAAGCTTTCCATGAGATTTGTCAAAGCTTCTTAGATGTCCATTAGACCATAAAATGTAGGAACAGAAGTAAGCCATTCAGCCCATCAAGTCTGCTTCAATAAGATCGTGGCTGATCTGATAATCCTCAACTCCACTTTCCTGACTTTTCCATATAACCCTATACCCTTGCTATCTCAGCTTGAATCTATTTACTGACCCAACCTCAACCCCCGCTGCAGTGAAAAATTCCACAAATTCACAACCCTTAGAGATGAGAAGAAATTTCTTCTCATCTCTGTTTTAAATATACAACCCCATATTCTGAGATGACGTCCACTGGTCCTAGACTCTGCCACAAGGGGCAGCAACAATTCCACTCTACCCTGTTAAGCCCTTTAAATATCTTGTATGTTTCAATAAGGTTGCCTGTCATTCTTCTATATTTCATAAAGTACAGGCCCAATTTACTCACTGTCTTCTCATAAGACAGTCATTCCATATCTGATACCAGCCTAGTGAACCTTCTTGGAACTGCTCATCTCCATTGCAGCGTATCTTTCTGTAGATAAGAAAACTGTTCACAGCATTCAAGTTGTAATCTGACTAAGTTTCTTATTTTTCTTTTTAGCAAATCTTCCCCACTTTTATCAAAGTTAACGTTTCGAGTCTGGTGACCCATGTGAAGAAGGGTCACCAGATCCAAAACATTAACTCTGCTTTCTCTCCAAAGATGCTGCCAGACCTGTTGAGGTTTTTCCAGCAATTTCTGTTGTCATTTCTGATTTCTAGGATCTGTAGTTCTTTGGGTTTTTTACTTCTATATTCCCTACTTTTATATTCTATTCCCTTTGAAATAAAGGCAAACATTTTTGTGTCAACAGCAAACCTGGCTAAATTCACTTTTCAGTTTTACATTCATTTTTCTCATATATATAATGATTTTGGCCTCAGCATTGATCCTTGTGGCACATTACTAGTTATAGGTTATCATCCTGAAAATGACCCCCTAACTCACACTTTCGTCTTATGGTTACCCAATCCTTTATCCATGCTAATATACTGCCTTCGACACCGTGGGCTTTTATCTTATTAAGTAGCCTAATATGTGGTGACTTACAAACGTCTTCTGAAAATTCAAATCTCTTGCATCTACTGCTTCCCTTCATCAATCCTGCTTGTTAATTCCTTTGTTAATTTCTCTGGCATGCTTCCCCTTTTATAAAGCCATGCTGACTCTGCTTTATCATATTATGTATTTCTAAATGCTGTGCTATTACATCCTTTGTAATAGACCCTAACATTTCCCCAGTAACACTGACAAAACCACCTGACCTGTAGTTACCTGTTTTTTGTCTATTTCCCTTATTACATAAAGGTGGTACGTGGCAGTTTTCCAATTCGCTGGGACTTATTCAGAATCTTAAGGATTCCTGGGAAATTGCTACCAGTGCATCAACTATCTGTGTAGCTACTTTCTTTAATATCCTAGGATGCATCCCATCAGGATCTGGGGTTTTTATTTGTGTTTAGTCCCATTAGTTTCCCTAGTGCTTTATCTCCAGTGATTAGTTATTGTATTTATTTCCTTTCCTTCTTTTGCCCCTTGAATATTTAGGAATTTTGGAATGCTAATAGTGCCTTCTGCTATGAAGACTGATGTAAAGCATTTATTCAATTCCTGTGCCGTTTCCTGGTTTCCCCATTATTAATTGCCCACCCTCATGCTCGAAGGAGCTCCTCTTCACTATGGTTTTAATAAGCCCTTGATATCTGTCTTACTTGGAAAATTTACTTGCAAATTTACTCTCAATTTATTTTCTCCAATAGCGTTGCAACCTACTGTTTCAAATCTTCAAAAACATGAAGCAGATTTGTTGGGCAGAATCTTCTTGGTCTATTTTATGATGACTATTATGACTAACTGATCAGCTTTCAGACTGCCTATCAGACCAACTTTTATCATTTCACTTTGTTACTGGTTTGACAGTTCTTAGGTCAGATTTCTCAGTATTTTCTTCATAGGTCATTAGTTAGATCTTCGAACAATTAAACCCACATATCAAAATATCAACCCTGACATTAGATGGTTAGAGATTTAACACTCACCTAAACAGGATAGCATCTAATTTGAAATGAGTCTACAGTTGATGGATTTCTTTTGTGATACCTCCTTCCTGAAGGTAGACTCTGTCCTGCAAATTGAGGAAAAATTAATTCCACTCATTAAAATATTGTAAGTGATAAGTTTATTCAAGTAAGAAGACAGAATAGAAAACTATTGGTTAATTAGCCTATCATCTTTCATAGAGAACAGGCTGGAATCCTTAATCACTTAGGTTAGATATATTTCTTCAGGCTAAAGGGATCAAAGGGTATGAGGTGAAGTGGAAAATGGTACTGAGTTGGGTGATCAGCCATGGTCATACTGAATGTTGGAACTGGCTTGAAGGGCTGAGTGGCCATCTCCCATTTTCTATATTTTTGTAGCAAGATGCTTAGAAAATCATTCTATCAGGCAGAGTCAACATGGTTTTGTGAAAGCAGAATCATCTTTAAGTAACTTATTAGCATTATTTGAAGTAAATAGCAAGTAAAGTAGGTAAATGGGAACCAATGGATGTGATGTACTTGAATTTTAACAAGGCATTTGATAAGGTGTCAAAGGTGGAGTCTCTGTGAAAGATTAGAGCACATGGTGTAAGAGCTAATATGTTAGCATGGATAAGGGAATTGTTAGCCTGCAGGAAGCAGAGGATAGAGATACATGGGTTTTTTCAGGTTGGCAAGCTATATCGGGTGGAATGCCAGAGTGATGGGGCCTCGACTATTTACAATTAATATCAATGATTTGAATAAGGGAACCATATGTAAGGAAGTTTATGTAGGAAGATAAGTTGCCAAAAAGAGGTGAAGGGTCTACAAAGGAATATAGCCAGGGTAAAGGAGTGGGCAAAAGTTGGCAGATGAGTATAATGTGGAAAAATTTTAAGTTATTCACTTGTGAGGAAGAATAGAAAAGCAGGATACTGTTTGATTGGAGAGAAATTGCAGTGCCAGTGGCACAGAGGGATCGGAGTGTCCAGGTTCATGATTGCAAAAGTAGGTACAGTAAGTGATGAGGAAGGCAGATGGAATGTTGGTGTTTGTTGCAAAAGAATGGAATATGAAAGTAGGAATGTTTTACTGGAAGATAGTAAGAACTGCAGATGCTGGAGTCGGAGATAACAGTGTGGAGCTGGAGGAACACAGCAGGCCAGGCAGCATCAGAGGAGCAGGAAAGTTGACGTTTCGGGTCGGGACCCTTCTTCAGGGAAAAAAAAAGTTTTACTGAAGCTTTACAGGATCTTAAGACCACATCTGGAGTCCTTGGAGCACTGTGTACGATGTATTTAGCTTTATCTGAGAAAAAGGTTTACAGATGTTAGATGAGTGAAAGTGATTTTATTGATGCACTAAGATCCTGAAGGGAGTTGATAAAATGGGTACCAGGACATCTTCGTCCTTGTAGATTAAAAATGAGGATTCCTTTTTAAGAAAGGAATGAGGAGAAATTTTTTTTTGAGTGTCAGTAGTCTATGGAATTCTTGGCATTTCTTGTTCTGTAAACTCGGAAGCAAATTCTATAGTGTAGGATTTTGTATTTGGTATTTCTTCAGTGTGGCAAGGAAGGCTTATACAAGACTTTGTTGCTCCATAGAGTTGGGAAGTTTGGCTAGTCTAATGTTTCTTGGTGCAATGTTTTTCCATTAGCAGTTTCTCCGATTGCTCTGAAGACAGATTAATGATAAATGATGTGCATAATATACTTGGACAAAGCACAACATTTCACTATAATGGTGTAAAACGTCACCAAATTTATTTATGTTTCAGGGAAATGAAAAAGAAGCCGCCACCAAGACCAACAGCACCAAAACCTCTGCAGAAAACTTCTGATGCAGAACTTGATTCTTTATCCAGTATCGAAGATATAGATATACGAACTTTTAATGCAGCTCTTACTTTTAATGATCTTCCCAATGAATTAAAAAGCTTACCACCAAATACTTTAGCAGCGCACATAAATGGAATGTCTGTAGATAGCATTGGAGCATATCCCGCAGAGCCTGTTGTTTTTCCGAGAATGAGACATTCGGAGCCAGAGGCTTTTGCAGCTTGTAGGACTACTAGTGCACTGCAACAGCCACCGTTACATGTTCAACAGTTTCCAGACCCTGCTTCAACAACTCGTCATGCACATCCATATTTTCATGGGGGAGTGGTCCCACCACCAGGTTCAGCTGCTGGGATTGCACAAGGGCCTTACATGGGAATCAGTCATTCGGGGCCTCCTTCAGTTAGTGGTACATCTGGTCTACCTACTCAAAGGATGGGTCCATCTGTGTCCTGCCCAGTACTCCCTCGACATATCTCTGCATCGTCACCACCTCCTCCGTCCTATCCTGCAGTTACCATGATTAGAGATCCCGTTCCAGCTCAGCCCCGTTTTATAGCTGGCCATTTAGCTCCAAGAGGGACTTCACCACAGCACTTGCCAAATTCCATGCCTGTTCCCTCTTCAGTGGGTCATCCCAGTGCTGTTGGTCCTACTGCATCTTATGGATTGGGTCAACAAATTTCTTCAACTGTACCGGTTAACACTGGTTTGCATACACCACCTCCGTCTGTTGGGCCTACACTTGCGTATCCTGGACAATTCTGTGGTCAGATACCAGGAGGAAATATTGTACCACAACCAAATACTTCAACCACCACAGTGGATAGTATACAGACTCCAATTTCAAGCTTTACACCAGATCCACAGTCAGTGAGCGGACAGCTTAATAGACCGCCAATCTATGATGTGAGAATGAGACAGCAGCCCAGTATGCCTTTACCAGGTGCGGCTGGTGTCCCTTCTGGACCTGCAATGAGGGCAATTGGTCAATATCCATATCATCCTGGTGGCCACCCATTCAGCCAGCCATCCCAGTCCCAGTTCACGAATGTATCATCATTTGCTTGTACTGCCCCCGGGCCACAGCATATGTTCCAGCAACCAAATCAGGTGCACCCAAACCAGGAACTTCACATTAGGCCTCAAATACATACTCAGCAACCTTATCAAGCTCAGTTTTTTCCACAGGCAAGATCACAGTTGCAGCCTCAACCAAGACCTCAAAATACTGCGCAGATTCCACCCCATTGTCCAGTCCCACTTTCAGCACAGCCTCAGTCTGAGATGCAACCACATTTAAGACCTCATCTGTATCAGCATCCTGCTCAAGATAAAACTGCTGCACCAGGGATTCTACCTCATGCAGGCAACGTTGTTTTTCCAAGCAATCCAAGTAACCTTCAACCAGGCCAGAACATTCCTGCTGCAGTGGTTCCACAGTCTCAAAAATGTCATACAGTAGCATCTACTTCAGAGTCACAACCGATGACATTGCTGCCTGGATCCTCAGCTCAAGGGGTCTCGTCCATGCCATTCTCCTCTCCACCACCTCATCTGCGTGCTGGGCCACAATCTGCAATTTTACCAAATCAAGTTGGAGGACCTCAGCCTGTCTCAACCGGTCATCATGCTGCACGTTCAATCCAGCCTGTGCAAAGTTCAACAGTTGGCCAAATGCCAGCCAGTGCTATTGTATCTGGATCCCCACTGCCACCTGCACCAGCTCCTTCCCCACAGCCTCCACAAGGGCAGGTTGGTACTCTTCCTGCTGCATTATTGCCCACTGCAATGGCTGGATCTACAGTCTTACAGCAGAGACCACCACCATCTCTTACACCTGGAGCAACAGCACCTGTTTCTGAAGTACCTTTTCAGAGGCAAAACTCTTCAACCGACGATCTTTTGTCATCCAGTCCAGATAGCCAGCATGGAGGGCCCCAGACTACAGTGACTCAGCCTCTTCTCCTGCCTACCAAAGTCGACTCGAAGGAAGGGCAGAAACCAAAGGGAATTCAAATCATAGAGAAAGATCCATATGAGAAGCCAGAGCATGTAAGAAAGTTGTTGACGGAATTGGAAAGCTTTAAGACTGTTGTTGACTCCATGGACAGGCCCTCATATGGAACCTTGACTGAATTGGATTGTAAATGGAAGGACTTGCAGGATGCTCAAGAAAAAGATGTCAGACAGTTGTCAATCGCTGTTGCTCGCTGTTACACCATGAAAAATCGTCATCAGGATATCATGCCTTATGACAAAAATAGGATTATAATCCAATCAGGAAAAGATGACTACATCAATGCTAGTATGATTGAGGACTTATCCTCTTACTGTCCAAGAATCATAGCTACACAGGCTCCATTGGTGGGAACTGCAGCAGACTTCTGGCTAATGATTTATGAGCAAAAAGTGTCACTCGTGGTTATGCTGGTCTCTGAACAGGAAGTAGAAAAGGTATGTCCTAATGATGGATATTTGGTTTGATTTTTAACAAGATTATTGAGTAAGTTAGTACTGATTGAGGGGAAAAAAAAACCTGCTTTGGGGAAAGGAGTGTTTTGTTTCTGCTTTTTATGCCTGGTGTTTGCATCCAAATAACTAAGGCTCTCACTGCTAATGTTATTTTGCCCTCTGCACCTTCTATACTGTTGCAGTGGGTATTTACTAACATGCCTGAAAACTCTGGAGAATGTCCTTGTTTCAAAGAATAAAGATAATTCAGGCTAGGTAATCTTTCCAGTTATTTGCCTGAGCAAGTGCTCAAATTTATTTACCCACGTACCTATCTAAACACGCAATCATAAGTATCCTTTGGGTTTTAATATAATCCATAAGTAGATGAACTACACACTTAAGCAGTAAAATTCTTCATTTTATTACAATAGAGCTTGTAAATACATTGAAGTTTTAATTGGCTGTGATTCATTGTTTCCTTAAGCACTAGTAACATAATTGTATGGACAAGTTTGATTCAAATTGGACCCCTTCTCGATATTATTGTTTTTTTTTAATAATGCTGATTAAAGTAATAGAGAAAGAAAAAGAAAGATTTGTGTTCCTACGGCCACCAGGTAATCTTTGTTTTATAGCCAGTCGTTGCACTGTAGGAACCAGCAGCTAATTTGTGCACAGCAAATTCTAACAAACAGCAATACACCAAACCTTTTATTGACTGGCACTGATGGGGCCAGGAATGTACCAATTGATCAAGAGGTCCACATAATCAATGTAAAAATACATATTAAGTAATAGAAACATAATGCAGAGGGTATATACATTACTGTTACACTTTATTTAGAACATAAATCACTTGTATAATGCAGCTTTGCCTTAATTAAAACTTACCGGCAGAGAGCTTTCTTATTCACACCCTGAACTGACTACTTGGACATTGCGAAGATCATGATAATACGTAAACTTCCGGTATTTCAGGCATATACGTTTTGCCAGTTTAGAGACCGCCAGTTCATAAGGTGCTGGTTAAAACAAAGCTTGCTGTATGATCATGACCAAATAAACTGTTTCACTGATGAGGAATAAATGTTGGCCAGGACTCTACAGGTTCTGCTCACTCGCAATTCTTCAACTAGTGGCGTACCATCTACGCATTCAACTGAGTAGGCAGATTGGGCCTCTGTTTATAGTGTCTCATCCAAAAGTGAGCACCTCCTCTAGTGCAGCAGTCCCTTAGTACTGCATTGGAGTGTCAACCTTGGTTTTTGAGCTCTCGCTCTGGAGTGGAACTTTGAACAAGAGCCTCATGACTCTGAAGCAAGAATTCTATCAAGTATGGCTGACACTCTAATGTTAAAGATCCTTTTCTTATGTCTAGGTATTTTTATTCTCATTCAGTTGTTCATGTCCTCCACTTGTCAAGTTATGTCAGAGGCATTGTCCCTTGTCCTGCTGTCAAAAAGATCTGTTGAAATTGTGGGTGGACATCTCTAGCTTCCCAATACGCTGTTTTTGCACTAATGAAGGGTTTAATTATGAACTCTGGAGGCTGCAACATCCAAGTTCCCAAGAGCCATTTACCTTATGTTCTACTGCAAGAACAAAAGTGCTTCACTGAGCATAATTAACAGCATAAGAAGGTTGGTTTGCTTTGTTTTTTTCACCACCATCATCATTTGTGGCCAATAGTACAGTCTTAGCTCCTAGGACACTAAACCTCCTTTCAGTATTAATAAAGACATTGGAATTTTCAGAGAAGTCTCCTCCACTACTGTTCAAAGTAGTATTGTTTAAACTAACCAATTTTGTGGCCTGTTTGGAAAACGCAAATTTTGGGCAATATTGTGCTGTGGAGTCCTGCAAATTAAATATCGCTTTGGTGTTCACCTTCTGGCTCACCACATCATGGATTAGGTGAACCATATTAACCTAACACAATTGAGAAGTTTGATTCCCACTCTAAAATCCTAGCTGCTTTTAGCTGGGCAGTGTTAATGGATTCTAAAATTGACATTGTGTCTTTGGGTTGGAGAAGAGGAGATGGACCCTTGTTCCTTCTCCTGGTTTTTAAATTAATGACTTATTGCTGATACTACATGCAAGATGAACTGAGGATTGGATTTAGCTGTGATCAAACAGCTTTTAGATCTTCACAGTGTGAAAAGGATCTTCGAAACTTATTTGATAAAATAATTGGGGTCATTAAGTTCTCTGCCTTCATTCTTTTTTTGGTTATCTATCCAACTACAATGGAATGTTTCAAATCAGAACCTCATGGTAGCTAATTGGATCCAGCTCTAATCTCTGCAGTGTATAGGTGCATTGCATTAAAATATTTTTCAGAGAAGCCCTTGGAATTAACTTTTTGGATTAAGGTCCTGCATATGAAATCAATAGAGATATAATTTACGAGGAGAAAATGATTTTGAGTGACATGTCTCACGATATATTATTCTATCTCCTTCTGTTACAGCAAAAGGTAATCCGTTACTTCCCAACAGAGCGAGGCCAGCAAATAATACATGGGCCTATCACTTTGACCCTGACAACACAGAAAATAACACAGACTCACGTGGAGCGGATGATTGGTCTGCAATATAGAGACCAGAGCCTGAAGCGAACAATCATTCACTTACAGTTTACATCGTGGCCTGAACTGTAAGTGTTCGATTTGTTTATAGTTCATACATTAATTGAATGTTTAAAATATCTAGGATGAACCATGTTCACCCCATCATGCAAATTGGAAAAGTTCCCTGTTTCACTGCTGATTAATGCTGAGTTGTTTGACCATAGCTGGAGCAGTCATTTATTGATTGCAGATACCCATAACACCCCTCCCATCATGAACAATGGTTGGTAAAGTCAAGTGGCACTTAATCATGTACTGGTGGAGAATGTGCACTTGGGAATGCTACATTTAACTGTGCCATCAGTGGACTGTCAATACACATTACCTTGTCTTGAAATACGAGTGATATACTGAATGTTTGCTGGCATCCATGAAACCAGGCCTCACCTGCATTGCACCCCTTTTAAGCTGCAGTAATTTGCGTGTGGTATACTACGTTACATTCTGAACTGAGAGTCTTTTTTTTTTCTGTCTTTGACGCATATCTTGTAAAATCCAAAACTTCAATGGAAATAATAAGCCTGAAATGATGCTTTTTATTTTTTTTTTAGGGGTTTGCCGGACAGTAAAAGTAATCTGCTGCGTTTTATTCAAGAGGTACATGGGCACTACCTGCATCAGCGTCCACTTCATACACCAATTGTTGTGCATTGCAGGTATTCTTGATTACTGACTTCATGAGGATGGAGCATGATTGATTGGGTGGAATACTGTGCAGAAGAATTTAAGAGGCATTCCTGCACCAACATGATTGACCCGAACACTCTGACGTGGTCTAGGAAACCACTTGTATATTTGCTGCAAATAACTAGGGCTTTATGAATGCAGGGTTAGGTAAATGGCTGCTGTGTGTCTTAACATCAGCGGTTGGTGCAGTAATCCAAAATGAGAGGGAAGATCTTAAAATTAGAGGTGGACTATTTAGGAGTAAAACATGGTGGCACTTATTCACTGAAAGAATTAGGGAAATCTCTTACCCAAAAGGTTGTGAATACTTTGGACAGTTGAAATTTTGAAGACAACGATCAACTTTTTTTTTTCAGGCATGGGCATCGAAGGGATAAAGACCTGTAAGTGTTGAAATAGGAATTACTAGTAATATAGTTAAATGGCAACAGAGGCTTGAGAGCACTGCCTGAAATGTGGACATTCATTTTACTTCAGGCTATATCCTAGGACCAGATCCCTTTTTAAAATAAAAGGGAAGCCTAGGTTGGTTTGATTAAACGTCATATGTGCCCCTAAGTCCACTTTGGAAATGGTTGGTAAGATCTCTCAACCTTGGCTTGATCTATGTCTGTGACCCTTGTGTAGGGTGAAAGCATTAAGCATATAAAATTTGATAGTTGGGTGTCACTTTTTTAAGACCCTTAAATTTTGACTTTGTGTTTGTTAGATAACGAATATACCAAAAATAAATTTCTAATATTGATTCTTTTAGCTCTGGAGTTAGAAGGACCGGTGCTTTCTGTCTTGTCTATGCTGCTGTACAAGAAGTAGAGGCTGGTAATGGAATCCCTGATGTGCCTCAGATTGTGCGGAAAATGAGACAGCAGAGGAAGCACATGCTCCAAGACAAGGTGAGGAAGTGAAGAACATATTCCTGTGACAACAAGGTGCAGAGCTGGATGAACACAGCAGGCCAAGCAGCATCATAGGAGCAGAAAGGCTGATGTTTTGGGCCTAGACCCTTCAGCAGAAATGGGGGAGGGGAAGGGGGTTCTGAAATAAATAGGGAGAGAGGGGGAGGCGGATAGAAGATGGATAGAGGAGAGGATAGGTGGAGAGGAAACAGACAGGTCGAAGAGGCGGGGGATGGAGCCAGTAAAGGTGAGTGTAGGTGGGGAGTTAGGGAGGGGATAGGTCAGTCCAGGGAGGACTGACAGGTCGAGGGGGCGGGATGAGGTTAGTAGGTAGGAGATGGGGGTGTGGCTTGAGGTGGGAGGAGGGGATAGGTGGGAGGAAGAACAGGTTAGGGAGGCGGGGACGAGCTGGACTGGTTTTCTAATGATGTTGTTAAAGCCAAAAGAAAGTATCTTCATCAAAACAGAAACTTTCATTCCAAGGAATTGAGGTTGATGATCTGGTTGAAAACACCCGCATATTTTGATTTTACAATCAGCTAGACAAACCGTAATCCTTGTTTGGAACTTGCATATATTGGAGATGTCATTTGTTGGGTGTGAAATTTGGTGATCACCAGCATCCAAGACTCTGGATCCCACCATATGTTGTTAAACTAGCTGATCTCTGCCTCGTCTATAGAAAAGAACTGTATAATTGGCATGAGTGCTCCAACTATTGGTACATATTTGCCTGTCCATGACAATATTGTGCCATCAGGGAAGGTAGAATGTTTTTATTTTAGTGATACGGGTATTGCAGTGAAGACTGGCAGCATTTGTTGCCCATTCCTAATCGCGTTTGAGAAAATGATATAGAAAGGAAGATTCTGCAAACATGGTGAGTCTTAGCAAAGTTCTGGCTTTTTCCGACTTCTGTCATTTTCAGTGATGTTTGTTCCTTCTTGATTTTGAGTGAATTCCCAAAGTGTAATTACCAGGGTTGAGACCGCGTGCATGTGGTCAATTCAGCTAAATTAAATGTTAAGAATTTTTCAATTGGGTGTAGCCCAACCTACAAATTCTGGATGCTTCAAAAACTTTTGATTGTGATGATCCTTTCTAATTTAATAACCTTCCCACCTGCCTTGCAATATCTAAATAACATTGATTTTGTAGCAACATCAATGACAATCTCCTAAAAATCAGTTTAAGGCTTAAATAATTTTTTTTTGATCTGACATATGTTTGAGCGAGTGACCCCAACCTTGAAACAATGCTTCGCTTTTGTTTATTATCCTTTAGCAGCCTTCTATATAATTAGTAAAGTGTGTAGGTGTAGTTAATTTGCTTAAAATAGTGCCACATGCACATCATATCCTGCAAGTGATATCATTAACTTCTTATATTCAAGAAAATCATTTTGAAAATAATCCAAATTGTCAGCTGATTAGAAGACTTTACTTTTGTGTGCTGTGATACAAATCTAAAATTTAAGTTTATTTCTAGTGTTTTGCACTATTTATTAAAGTCACTGTCTAGTAGAGGATTCCAGTGTGGACTGGGTGTTTATGTGTCCTTTCTATTTCCTCCTAATCTTCTGCTCCCTTGGTACATCCTCCTTTTAGAATGCTTGCATGGGTGGTCAATGGGCAAAGGCAGGATTGGCTTTAGCTACAGTCCCAACACTGGTCAAATTGTTTATAGCCATTTGGTGTGTTGACACACAAGTGGTTTGAATGACCCGTTAAAACCAGTTTGCATTAACTTTCTATGTATGCTTGACTGGAGTGCAACATTTAGCTCAGCCTTCTTCTGAAACTGATTGATTGAGCCATCAACCACACCAAAAATATTATGCTGTATAGCAATCTTGTGTACTTAAATAATTTACCAATGCAGTCTGCTAAAGTATACTTTTCAGTTCCCAGCAATTGTTTTTGTGGTTTGTGGGAGGGAAGTCAACATATAAACATAAAAGACATGCATGGCAGCTGCTGCTTTTCTGATCTGCTTTGTGGTTTATCATTTTAGCTCCACCTGAAGTTCTGTTATGAAGCCATTCTTAATCATGTGGAGCTTGTTCTGCTGAGGCATGGAGTTATCACTACTTTTTCCAGCAAAATACCAAGCAGTTCATCTCAAAAGGTACTTGTTCATGTTTTTGAAACTTAGTTTATAAACTATTGCCTTTAACAACTCATTTATTTAGAACCAGAATCCCAAGTTGCATTTAAATCCCAAGTTGTATTGCAGGAACATGAAACAAAATATATTATTGATCCATATATGTTTGATCAGATGTCTAAAAGCTTGGTGAAAGAAGTAGGTTTTAAAGAGTATCTTAAGTGTGGAAAGGGAGAAGTAGATAGGTATAGGAAGGGAATTCCACTGTTCAGGCCTTGGGCAGTTAAAAACTGGCCACCAGTCATAACAGTAGAATATCCCAAGGTACATCCAGGGAATGTTACCAAACACATTTTGCCACTGAACCACATCAGGTATAAGAAAAAAATGATCACATCTGACTTTGAAGGAGTGTAGAAAAGGACATGCTCGCAGAGAGATTTGGAGAGGAAATTTCAGAACCTAGGACTCAGGCAATTGAAGGGACAGTTGGTAACACTGAGAAATGAAAATTGAGATGTTTGAGGCTAATGGTAGGGTTCAGAGTTCTGAGGGCTGATGAATGAATTTTAACACTCAGAAATGGATGGGCATGGGTGGGGTCTGCTGCTAGAATCTTGAACCTTGACCCCAGCTTTTATCCAAACTGCCCACTTTGTGGCTGATGAAGGAGTGTCCAAGGGCAGCAATCATCTTACTTCTAGTAACTGATTAGGCAGTTTATATATTTGGAATAATTATTACACTAAGGTTACCACGTGCAGACACGAAGGCTGAGAGAAACTCCAGTGTTGCAGAGGAAGCTGGAAAGTGAGAGAGGCTGCTGGGAGAAAACAAAACAAACCCATTGTATTCTCTTGGGCAGACTACTTCATTTTATAGCCTTCAGCACCATTACACAGGCATCTGCTTGCTGTCATTTGAGAATGACATCAGTTCATCATCTCACCCTGTGAAACAATATATTGCTTTTAGAAAGTGCTGTCACACTTCTACCTGGAACAGGGGGTGAAATCCAAACTTCCAGGATTCCCATCTGTATCTTTCCCCTGACCTATTAGCATTGATGCCATAGTACAGTGCTGCCGTGGTGAGATCAGAAGACCAAGACAAGTATTTTAAAATTAAGATTTGACAGAATGGGAGACAGTGTAGATCAGCAAATTATAAGGGGCGATAGCTTGAGTAGTAACATTCTCATGCCTAGATCCAAAATTGGAGGCATTGAATTCTTCTGCTAGGTTGCCATTTTAGTGCAGTATTGAAGGAGTGCTACATGATAAGGTCCCACCTTTGCATGCAATTGTAAATCAAGACTTTGAATTCCTATCAAAGGTTCTGATACCTCTATTTCAACTTGAACAAGAGGTATTTCAGCTAATAATCACCTCTGAACCAATACTGCCAGAGGAGATTAGTTAGTCACTTTTGCTTTCCCCTTTTAAAAAGGAGTAAAAGTTTCAAATGCTTTCTATTTTCGCTCCTTAAAATTACCTCCTGCCCTTACGTATGTTTCCTGAATCTCAAAACTGTGAATCCTCACATTTTGTTTCTTTCTCCCACAATCTGTGTTTTCAAAAATAACTTTAGTGTTGCTGAATAACTACTTCCTAATTTGCTTACCTTTTATTCATCTTTTAGCACCTAGCACTGTAAATCATTGAGCTTCTGTGGGGAAAAGACTGTAATATTGTAATTATTTAACTGTGAAGGGAACATTTGTTCAGTTAGAAAGAGAAAGGGTTTTTTTTTTCTCTCATTCATTCTCATTTATTTTTTGCTCTGCAGGTTTATACCCGCCAAGAATCCCAGGATTTAGTTCTTGGAGGTGATTTACCAATTAGTTCCATCCAGGCCACCATTGCAAAGCTCAGCATCAAGACATCTGCTGGGACCATTGGAGATGGCAGACTGAACTCTCTGCCTTCATTTGATCCAAGCTTTGATATTTGGTCTGATTCGCAGACTGATACCATACCACTGTCTAATGATCTGCTTCAGCAGGACCTCAAGGTTGAGGTCACTAGTGCAGTGGCAGAACCAACTATACCATCACAGATGACACCATCAAGTCAGTCAGCTGTTGAAACAAACAATGTCAGCTCAGGGAGTTGTGATACAACCCGAGAGTTGGATGAAATGAAAGTGAACGTAGGAGATTGTCCAGTTGTTTTACAGCCGGCCTCCACGAACCCCATAACAAACGCAGACAGCAAGACCACCTCACTGGATCTTTTGGCATCCTTAACTGCAGAGACCTTCACCCTAGACACCAATCCCCGGAACAGGCAGAAAATTAGCAAGCACAACTTCTTGCAGCCCCAGGATGGCCAGGGCCTGCAGGCTACTCACACTGGTGAAGATCCTTTGAATCTTCTGGATCCGTTGTGGACTCTAAATAAAACATGATTAGTCGGTCTGAGATCTCCCAGGATAATGAACATGAGTCCTTGTGATTTGGAGATGCATTTTTTAAAGAAGGGGACAGGGCGACAGAAAACTTGATCAGCCTTCATTTGAATTTCTACACAATAGGGACAGATTAAAACTGCAAGCTAGTTGCATGTAAACTGGAAAGAACAGTGCCCAGGCTTGTATCATAACCAATTTCTGAATGTACAAAAATCAAGATTCCTTTTAAACCTAGTATTAATGCAGATGGTAGTAAATTCTTGCTTACTTGTTTGATTATATTTAAACCACTGTTTCCAATGGTTGATGTATGTTTACTTGGTCTGTTAACAAAGGGGTTTTATGTTGTGACCAACTCCAGTTTAGGATGTGCTTCAGAAATCTCTCTCAAAAACGATAGCCTGGAAAGCCAGTGTGTCCTCCTTTTTTGACCTGTGGAGGTTGAACCCACTCAGTGCTTATTCTTGCTGTTTGTGTGGTCTGTTTGACCCATAGCTGTACTGCCAGTGCATTTTGATATTTTGCCCATTGGCCATGCAGCTGGCCCTTGTTGATCCAGATCTCTTCCTGTTGAGCATCTTAGACGTTGTGTCTTCATGGTTTTTGTCCTCCCCATTACTTAGCCAGCCAGCTCTACCTTGCAGTAGATTCTCAGTAACTCATTTTATTTGGAGTGTTGTTGGATGACATAGCTTCATTGATTTCCCCTGAGTTTTCTCAAATACTGTTCCTGAACAGACCTGTACTCTGGTGTGGTTCTGTAGTTACTGGCCATCCTACAGTACTTCACCCATCTGTGTCTTTTCTATTTTGAGTTTGGTCATTGAGTGTCTGCAGTATGTATAATTGAGTCGGTTTCAATCATTTCTGCTGGGGTGGTGCTTCCCAATTGATGGATCTGTGTTTCACCTCTCTCGTGTTGTTGGGTTAGCAATCATGCTGCTTTCTCCTTTTGTCAGGTCTGCCCCACAGCAAAACTATTTAAAGGCAGAAACAATTTCAGCTCAGTTTATACCACTAGCACTAAGCCACAGTTATATTTTGGAAGTCTACTGGGGCCTTCCTTTTATATGAGGGAACATTCCATGCTGATCAGCTCACTGTTGATTTGTGATTTTCTTCAGATCAATGACCTGTCTGTACCATCAGCTTTGGAATGTGCAGAATCTTGCAGCCTCATTCCAATGACTGAGTCAATTATTTGTCTGCTCTTAGATTACCTTTCTTTCGTGGTGATGTTTGTTGCTGCCAAGAATCTGTTGTTGTTTCAGTTCCAACTCCTGCTGCCTCAGCCTGAGTTCCACTCAGTTGCCACAGGGCCCAAACTAAACAATGTCAAAGCCTGACTGAGATTCAGTGCAGTTCCACTGCCTAACTTGCATATATTGTTGATCCAGGATTTGCTGAGCATCGTTCAGTCCTGCCTTCCTTGCAAGGAGCCTCTGGACTGACCCTATGGTTTTTCTGTGCACATTGATATATGATGGATGCATTACAGTGTCAGATTTGATAGTATGGAATGCTGCTGAAATGTAGTGCTATTTTCTTAACCATGGAAACAAGTTTATTTCTATTGTTAGGAAAAAAAAACATCAGAACATTGTGCTACCAAAATTAATGAATTTAAGGTAAGATTAATGGCCAGGGTTTTAAAATGCACTATTAAGGGCTATGAGTAAGTTAACAGTAATTCACTTGAATGGCTTAGTTTTGAATTGTTGTCAGAAACCAAGTATGTTATCCATAACTGGATATGCAAGTTGGCAGTCACCTGAGAAGAGTAGGAAATGTATCTTGGATATTTGAGTGCTGTTAAATAATTGGCAGCTGAGCTGGTATATTACTGCTTTCCCTTTCGAGCAATGAATATGCAGAGTTGTCTAAAAGCTAAAACCAACATCAGTTACTATTCTTCTAACAATGGGACTAAATCTTTAAGTGTACAGGAAGCCTGAATTGCTTGACTCTTGCATTTTAACCCTCCTGTTATTCCTTCAGCTGTCCAGCAGATGGTAGTCTGTGATTAGCACTTTCACCCTTTTTTGATGGACATTAAAATTCCTAAAGTACACTTAAAATAATCAATTTAAGATTTGGCTTTCCTTCTCCTTGGGCCATTGTGTATGATCTCAAACCTAATACAATAGGTAGTCTCTTTTCGGTCTTGCGCTACCTTTCATACATTGTGTGCAGCATTGTTTTCCACAGTCCCTAGCAGTGTTAACCATTACAAGGCAAATACTGAAGCTCAAGCTAGGTGTGTTAATAATTCCATAAAAAATGAAAAGTGGAAGAAGAACTGGTAAACAGAGTACTTTACATTTGGCCAATGTCCTGTTTAAATGTGGATAGCATATGCTTTGATTGCAGTAAAATAAAATATTGATAGTCAAATGAAGGAAGCATATCTCAAGATCTGTGCAGAATTGAAATAATAAATTGGGTTAATTTTTTTTGGAGAAATGTTATAGATAAACAATGAATCACATGCAAAATATACTGGGTGACATAAAATACAAAATGCTGGAAACACTCTACAGGTCAGCCAACATCTGATTCAAAGAATCAATATCTGAATTACTATCTTCTTTAAATTCTTCAGATTTCAAGAAGCTGCAAGTTTTTTGTTTCTGTTGTTACTGTGGACAAAATTGTCACATTCTACCATGATGTAAATTATATTTAATCATTTCACTAACAAATCCTACCTACAGAGGATTAGAGCGTGAGGCAAGAACAGTTAATTTCAGCCAGTCTCCCCTTATAATTGGTTGTACTGGAAACATACCTCATTAACTAATTGAACATTCTGTCCTTCATACCTGCATATGTACAGACTGTGAACTTCATGGCTACAGAAAGTTTAGATCCACATTTAGTGATTTATATGCACCCCAATGTGCCAATATTTATCAGACCTTTCTTTCATATTGATGTTTGTTGATTTTATGATTCACAATTTTTTCCACTCATTAACCTGTGCAAAGAACAGCTATTCTAAACCTCCTGGCCTATGAAGTTTAAACAAGAATAACTTGTGCAAGACAAGGGTGAAAAGATTCAATTACCCAGAATTGAAGGACCGGATTTCCAGAGCTCGACATATCAGTTAACATTGTTGCCTTTCCTCCCCTTTCCCCACCCAGCTTTGTATTCTAATTTCTCTAAAGTAGTTTTCCTGTAAAATGACACTTTTATTTACAAAGTATGTTATTAATTGTCAAGCTATTCTCGTCTTTTTCCAAGTTTACAATTGAGTTAAAACCACTCATGGATGGTACAGAGCCACTGAATACATTATAGGACAGACTGAAAAACAGTATGTATTATGAATGATTGTATGAATGAATGTTGCTGGTGGTAGTGGCAGGAGTCTGGGGGACGAGGGATGGAAAATAAAACCTCTGCATTCTGCAACTTGAGTAAATAACCTGGAACCATATTGTGTCCCAAGATTACCAGACTGTCAACAGACAGAAATTGATCCCACTTCTCCTTTGCTAATCCTCAATTAGCCTCTGCACATCAAGGACAATTGAAAGAGCACAACCATGGGACTTACCTGACACGTCACTTTCCCTACAGAAACAGGAGAACTTGTTTTAAGTTTACATTTATTGAGATGTGCCATCATTCTGTTAAGCAATTAGAATTTGATTTCATTCCACAAGTTGGAGTAAAGTTGCCAACATTGGGAAAAATCAATTTGAACTACCTGCTGACATTATTTCCGTGGCTTAGAACATAGTTCAGTAAAATTTGGCTAGTCTAGTCCAGATAAACACTTCAATTTTTGTCATGTGAGAGTGCACAGTAACAGTTTTAGATGGGGAGGGCAATAGAATGGAGAGAGAGGAAAAGATAGTGTAGTTGGGATGGGTGTTGTTGGAAGGAGGAAGCTTGCACCCTAACACTGAATCTGAACTGGCATCTGTATTGCAAACTATCAGCTCATTATGACCAAGTTCACAACGAGCCATGCACTTCAGCTTTGCACAAAGGAAATTCTACATTAAACAGGAGTTGGCTGAGGAATCTTTATTAACTGGTTTAATTTTAATTTGTAAAAGATATTTGAAAATGTTTCTTTGTTTACAGCTCTCAACCATCCTCCCTTAAATCCTTGTTCTTTTAGACACACTAATCCCACTCCTTACCTTCTGAAGCGTGGAGTTCTATGCTATCAGTGCAGCAATGAGTAACATTTTTGTGATTCAGCGTCTTAGTTTAGCATATAGTGATGGCAGAGGGGGGTTGTGGGGCTTTGAGATGATTGATCTTTTGCATGTGTACATTATCCAATAACAAACACTAAATTTCAATTGTACATTCAACTGTAATATAATTGTGCTATAAATAACTATTTGATTATCTTGGCTTTGATTATTTCAAACACACACATGCACCTGCCCAAAATAAAGCAAATCTCCATGAGTATGGCAAGTGGAAGGGGCATTCTAGTAATGTCCAACTTGGTGACCTTTTATAACAGGTAGATATCAGCAATCTGTGCACTGCAGCCCAACTTCTATTTTGACATTTATATTTTTGCATTCTTTCATGGTCTAGCTACTCTCAAAGACAAATATGGATGAAACTTGAGGTGGTTGAATAAATTGCTTGTACCATGCATCAAGCTACAGAACCACATTACCTATTACAGTCTCAATTAGTGCAGCATTGATTGTAGTGATCAGCTGAAATTGAGACTTTACCCTTCAGACACACAACAATACAGATTACTCTTTGAAATGACCTAGTAAATCAGTTGGTCACATCAGCTACAAGATAGTGAGGATGCAGGTCTTAGGTTACAGAAAGATGTAGATGGATTGGTCAGATGGGCAAATCACTGGCTAATGGAAATTAACCCTGATAAGTGTGAGGTGACACACTTTGGAAGCAGTAACAAGAAAAGGGAGTACTCAACAAATTGCAGGACACTAGGAAGCCCAGAAGAAATTATGTTGGACCTGCAGAGAATTCTGGGGTAGTATGTGCAGCTCTGGTCACCACACTGTAAGAAGGATTTGATTACACTGGAGAGGATTCACCAGTATGTTGTCTGGGATGAACATTTTAGCTATGAAGAGGGGCTGGATAGGTTTGGGTTGTTCAGAGCAGAGAACATTCAGAGGCACAAAGGGTGGATAAGTAAGCAGCTGTTTCCCTGAGTTGAAAGGTCAATAATAAGGTGGCAGGAGATTTAGTGGGGACTGTTTTCACTCAGGGTTGTGAAAATCTGGAATGCACTGCCTGGGAGGACAGTAAAGGCAGGAAGCCTCACAATCTTTAACATTGTTAATCACATACTACTAATAGGCCAAGTACTGAATAGTGGTATTAGGATACATAGATCAGCACAGACTCAAGGGGCTGAAGGGCCTCTTGTGTGCTGTATGACACTGCCTTTATGAAAAATTAATGATTTTTGAAATCAAAGAACTGCAAAAGGTTCCCAAGATTCTCAAGCACGAGCTTCATCATAGAATCCCTACGCAGACACGGAGAATGTGCAAACTCCACACAGACAGTTGCCCGAGGCTGGAATCGAACCCGGGTCCCTGGCTCTGTGAGGCAGCAGTGCTAACTCTCCTGTTGGAAGTCTTTACTCCATTCTGTAACTTGGTAACTTCAAAATGAAGTTCCCAGGCATTTGTTACCTTTGTCCTTCTAGGTGGCAAGAGGTTACAATTTTGGAAAGTATTGTTGAGGACCCTTGGTGAGTTATTGCAGTTTATCTTTTAGGTCATACACCAGTACTTCCCAAAACAATTCCCTTTGATTCTGTTTTTCTGCTTCCATTTGTTTTTAAATGAAGTAGAATAATTTGTGTGAAACAAAACCAATTTTGCCATTAGGTGTTAAACCATTTCTTAAAAACAAAGTTGCAACGCTATCCCTTGTTTAATCCCAAAAGAAACACTCATGCAACACGAAAAACACAATTCTGCAGAGACTATATTTTCAAAGGGCAAAAGAGAAAACACCCCTACTAGTCTCAAAAACAGAAAATAGGCGTAGTCCGATGGAAGGAATTTTAGGCAAGCTTCAGCTCACAAAAATTGAAGTTCCAAGTCTTTGGAAAGTAGTCACAGTTCAGCTCTTCAGGATATACACAATGATCAAGATCCTCATATGTGGAAGCTTCATCAGGCTTCAGGAGAGATTTGCCCTTACTGTGAGCCTTGGAAGATGACGTTTTTTGTCTGATACTTTGGGAAGCCAAAGAGTAAAGAGTTGCTAGGAAACCAATCAGTTCTTAGCCCTACAGTCTCTTACAACCAGGTTTTTCAGGCATTAAGGGGCAATAAACCATCTCTTGTTTGGCTCTTTGCCAAAGTTATCAGGTGGCTTACAGCCCTAATTAAACTGATCTCGTTCATTAGTCAAATCCGGTTTAAATGCAAAAGCTGTCCAGACTGTTCAACGTCTTCCAGTTTTTCATATACTCCATACATTGAGCTTGAGCAAATGCCGGAGGGTTATGACATCAGTGTGAAACGATACATCTTTGATATGCAAAAACATCCCAATGTGCTTCACAGGAGTATAGTCAAACAAAAACTGACACCAGTTAAGAGGGAGATTTTGAGGAATGGCTAATGAGAGATTTCCATAACAAAGCGCCCAGACAGATCAAGGCATGGATGCCAACAGTTGGTCTAGGGTTTAGGTAAATGCACAAGAAGCAAAGTTTGTAAGAACACAGAGTTCATCTTGTGTTCTACTGCTAAAGAAGGTAATATAAATGGGTAGGGGATACAGAAAATTTTGTGGTCAGATCCTGACACTTGTGTTTGAGACATTAATGGAATAGGGTTAATGCACCTCAATGAGCATAGGCATAAACAGGTGAATAGCACATGATGCATGTTTTGGGGCAGGCAATATAGCTTTTGTATGATTTTATTTTTGAAAGGTGAATGATGGGGAGACAGCCAGGATACCTTTGGAATCATCAACTCTGGAGGAAGGTTTCAGAAGAGTATGAGCTGAGGCACAAAGATACAGGTGGAGATAACGAGGCACTGAAAGCTAAGCTGAAAGGTAAACAAGAGCTCAAGGTTAGAAAAAGAGATTTTCAGCCTGGGACGATGGCCAGGACAGTGGAAGGGAGATGTTGGGATACAACAGGAACTGAAGATCATGACGTTGATTTTACCATTTGAGAAAATGACATTTTCAAGATTAAACAGAGGCACTGAAGGTATCAAGGAAAGAATAACTGGCAGAAGAACAAGAAAGTCACTAAGTAAAAAGAAATGCTATTGCTATATTTAGGTTTTTCAGAACTATGTGTTGGAGATTCCTAATCATGACCATGTGTTTTCACTTCACCGACCAAAAAAAGGATAAGTACAAGTTATAAAAGGAAAATTGAGGTGTAGGACATAAGAAAGCGTCTGACAGATATCCCACTTTAGCAAGAATGCCCTTAATCTCCAAACACTATGCCTTAAAATTTTAGGACTCTAATGATCTATCTCCAGTTGTAATTTTTCATATTATTGGAAACTCTGGGTAAAAATTAGGCATCTAACATCCATTAAACAGAGAAAGGGCATCAACTTGAGCATCAGCTAGTGTGTTCTGGAGTTCTGCAACTTACTTATCTCCTAAACGTCCTGAAATAGCTGGTTCGATCTGCATGTTAATAACGATACATGCCATTAAACCAACATTATTTTCCAGTGAGTTCTGACCCAATATCATTCCATGTCATTTTGTTCAATTTAGGAAGGTCTTGACAGCTGTACAGCTCACAGGTTAAGGAGACAGGAAACAAAATCTTGTTCCTTGCTTCTGGAAAGCAATTATCAGGAGAGACCAGGAAGGGCTCGGTGCAACACCCTTCACAAAACAAAACTGAACATCTAAGGGAGATAGAGGAAAGTAATTTAAATTATGCCTTAACCACACACAGTGCCTTTGGGAGGGAAGAAAACTGGAAGAGACTACATAACAAAAGGCAAGCTAAAAGTGGACCAGTTAGCATCTATTAGCATAAAAACAAAATAAAACAATATTCGCATGTCTTTTTATTAAAATCTTATTGCAAAAAAATTAAGAAATGTTCTTTGGTTCTGTACATTTCTCTAATTTTGTTTCTCTAATATTGTCAGACACTTTAAAAAAATTTACAAAACAAATCAGGAAATATTATTTTTACGTTCAAAAGAGCTATCATGATGGAAACCTGAAAAAAAAAATCGTGTCAGTATCCATAGGGAGACCAGGGCTTGTTTCGAGCTCTTTCAGATACAAGTTTTCAAACACTGGCAGTGTGCATAGAATCCAGCCAGAACTTAATCACAATAAACAAACACATTTCATACTTTAAAAAAAAATCTCTACACACAATTAGGTAGTTTTAAATATTAAACCATCTCTGTTTTGTAAGAAGTCTGAGTTTAAGAAAAGTATATGCTCAATGCAGCAACATTTTGGGATTGCAGATTTACTCTCCCAATTCGGCTCCAAGTTCCTGTGCTCACCAGCACTGCTGTAGTGAAATTTAAAGCAGAGACTAGAAGGTCAAAGGGAGCAAAACGATAGATAGAGATATAGTTGGGAGTGAAACAGGAAGATATACAGAATGACAGGCAAAGGGAAGGGAAATGGGAGAGGAAAGCAGAGACAGAAATAAATGACAAATAAATATATAAAGATGGAGACAGAGGCAAATGGGAGAACAGAGATTCTAAGAATATAAATAAAGGGGAAAAGAAGACACACAAGATTCAGCGAAGTACAGCAAGATGTCAGAGCAGCCGCGAGGAGCAGGTCCCCTCCAGCCTCCTAACCGCAGCTGGCGATAGCAACTCCAGCAGACTGGTGAAAAAGGACATTTGTACCTTCCCACCCCTCTGAGAAAGGCAATGACCAACATTCTATCAGTAGTGAGACAAAAGACCAAATTTCCAGTACAGAGCATCACCTTTTATAGTTAATCCCCATAAATAAGTGACATTAAGTTGATCTTATGACAGCATAATATCCTGTATTACAGTATATATTTCAAAAATACATGCGTAATAAATAAATTTATTTTTAAATTAAGCTTGCAATAGGTGACTAAAGAGTACTGTTTGATTTCTCATCAGTACAGAATTAAACCACTACCCTACCACTAATTTTTCCAGCTTTTCTTACACTTTTGAAATTTAGCCACTCAAAAACATTTGCCCCAAGAAATTAAAAGTGTGACAAAGCTGAATAATAATAGACTGCTTCTATAATTAGACAGAAAACAGAGGACAGACAGATCAATATGAAGGAATAGTACAGGATTTGTCCCTTATTAATTTTTAGTCAGTTTAGATTATTGTCAGTATTATGAACCTTTTACAGATTCTATGGAACTGGTG